GGGCGCAGGACGAAGTTAACAACCTTGTGGCGATGGTGACAGAGTTGAACATCAAGAATCGCGACTCGGAGGTTAACGCGGCGGAGAATGCAACCAAGTACCGGCGCATTAACGAAAATATCGGTTGCCTCTTGATTACCGCCAGGTGCCTTACCGAGAATATCACGCCCCTGCAGGACCTCGAAGGTAAACGTGATGCGGCGCTACGTATTCTAATGGGAGTTACCGAGAGGCTTGAGGGTTTGCAGAAGTTCTTGGATGACCCGATCAACTCCTCGGTTACCGATATTCCGCCGGTGCCGCCGCCGTTGCCTTGGTCGCCCCCGACGGCAGCGCCCGCCAAGGCGCCGCCCGTTGCCGCCGCCGCGGCAGCCGGGCCCATGGCCACGGGCGCGCCCCCAGCGCAGCAGGTTAACGTGGCTCCGCCAGGCAAGGCCCCCCCTACTCAGGACCTGGCCGGCGTAACCGCTAAACCCGGGGGGAGTCGGCGGTCCGTGTCACCGAACAAGATTCGAGCGTCACCGTTGAGCCCGCAGGGCGGTGAAGAGCCACAGCCTGCTTACAAGCGGGCGCCGAAGGCCATGCGTGAACGTCAACGGGAGCTGGAGGAGTTGAGGCAGATAGGCATCAAGATGGACGAGGATCGAACGGTTGGTGGTCAACGTGATGAGGCGCCAAAGGATCCTGCTCCCGTCGTAAACGCGAGGCCGGCCAAGCCGCCCCCTCCGGGGTTCGGCGAGTCCGGAGCGGCAAGCAGCGTTACCGGCGCGAAGCCCCCGCCTCCAGAGGCCAAGAGGTTACCGTTCCAGCACATCCCGCCGCCACAGCCTCAGGTCGTTAACCGCGCGATTGATCAGGTTGAGAGGCACTCCAGGATCGTCGCCAAGGACACCACTTACCGCCCGCTGTACCACGTCAGCGGTCGCATGTCCATACTGAACAACAGGAGCGACGACTACGACGTTAACTTTCGGGCGGAACCTGATCCCAGGGATGTGGTAGCCTTAACGATGAAGACACGTGATAACTGGCGCAAGTTGGAGGGTAACTTCGTCGGGCACGTGGCGAAGGCGGGGTTAACGACCCCTGGCGGCAGGGCCATTCAGGGCAACACCGGGCGGGAGCTTAACGATTACGAGGTCCGATCAGCTGGAGGTCTCAGTTAAAGGACAAAGAATTGGCCAAGCATGATGAATGGGTTGACGCGGTTGGGCACGTACAGTCCCTATTTGACGATGACTACGTGCCACCGCTCCACCTTAAAGAGCTTCACCCATCGTGGTTTGAGCACCACAGTTGCGCGGACACGCAAGTGTACGTCAACAAGGTGCCGGAGATGAACGAGAAGCAGCTTAACGGCCTCCTCTTAACGTGGGCAGGAATGCTGCCCCACGGCAACCCCACCGTCATCTCCGTTAAGCACCTGGTGGAGGACGCCCATGGGCCGCACGGATGCATCTCGACTGGAGTTACCGTGATTCGCTTTGCGACGCCCGATCTTGCCAGGCTTTACTGCCGTTACATGAGCGGGCTCCAGGTGCATTACCGTAACTACTACATCGACGACCTCGAGGTCAGGAGCACCGCGGAGTTAAAGGGCAGGATGAGCAAGCCTCCAGTCTACTGGCACCAGACCGTTTTGGAAGTTGCCCTTAACGATCAGGGATCCATGAGGGCACTTTACCGTGATAATTGGCCGGCCGATCATGTCACCGAGCGTAAAAGCGATCACCGTGAGAGGCTTTGCTGGTTTGGCTGGTTACCGGGCGACGACTTCCCCAACTGGCTTACCGATCCGGCCTGGACTGTGAACCCGTTTACCGGCGCTGCGGTCGAAGAGCACCTCCGTATCAATCCAGGCGATGGGCCTCTGTTAAAGGCTCCCCACGCCAGTTGCTGGAGAGCCATCGGCACTTACCACAACATCGTTGACGGCTCAATCAAGAGCCACGACGAGGGGTGCTGGCCTGACGACGAGGAGCGCATTAACGCGTACATGGACGACGATTACTACAACCATATGCAGGCCCTTAACAGGGTGTCGTCCTACACCGCAGCCGGTGTGGGCCATCGCGGGTTACCGAGGTCGAGGGGTTCACGGGCCCCGTCGGCGAGGCGCCCGCGCCGTCCGTGAATGATGGCAGGCAGTCAACATGCTGCAGTTCACGCTCTTCCTCATCTCCCCTCTTAACTTGGCTTAACGATCGAGTGGCAGCAGCCTGTTGAGCTGAGTTTGTTTGCATGCGCATCTCTTGTTGTTACCGCAGGTATTGGCGAATAAAAAGCGAAAGCAGCCAAAATCATCCGAATGCTAGCTTGCTGTGTAAACTTTAGATGCTTCGTTTGAACTTGTGACAGTAAAAGCGTTTACTCGAGCTCAGGTTACATGTGTGAGAATCTTGGTGCTCGTAAGCGCCGTCGCGAGACATTTCGAATTCAACAGTGTGATGAAGAGACTTGAGGCTTAACGTCATTTGCGTGCGACGTTTGGTCTAGCTTGACCTGTTTTCGTGATTGTTGACGCCTCCCCGTCAGCCTATACGGACTAGCGTCCGAGGGGGTGTGTTAACATGTGAGCATTCAGGTGACTGGGGAGTGCAGGTGTCACCGTTACCGTTTGGCTCAAGTATTTAACGGCTGAAGCTACCGAGACTTGCTTCGCCGTGCTGAGGTAAAAAGGTGACCGATCGTCATCGCTGTCACCGAGCTCCCGTGCAGAACCCTCCTCGGGGTTTTGCAGGAGGAGGAGGAGGAGGAGGAGGGAGGAGGCGGAGGAGGAGGAGGAGGGAGGAGGCGGAGGAGGAGGAGGAGGAGGAGGAGGGGGAGGAGAGTCAGGCTCGCCACGGGGAGCGCGCCGGTGGGGTCTCGTGGGGCCCTGCAGGGCAGGAGGTTCCCATGACCTGGCAGGCAACTTGTTTGCCGCCACCTTGCGGCATTTCGCAGTGTTGGCGCTCGGAGGGCTTGCGGTGGAGGTGTGATAAAGGAAGTATTGTGGTGGTCGTGGTGTTATGAGGAAGTTCCTGGAGGCCTCGCGCGGCGCGTGATAGCTGTAGTCCGCACGTCTATGGGTCGGCGCTTGCGCGGCGATGCTCCGGCGCCAGTGCGACGTAAATCCGCCGTAAGTCCGACGTAGTCCGACGCGAGCCCGACGTAAATCCGACGTGGATCCGACGTAAGTCGGGTCTCAGGTGGCCGCGCGAGGCCTCCAGGATTTTCATCATATCGGTGGTGGTGGTGGTGGTGGTGGTGGGTAAGAGTTCTTCGTGGAGCAGACGCAATGGAATGACGCCGATTGCTTTTCAGCCGGGGTGCCCAATTACAGTCGCTGCACATCGGCCTCGGCTTTGCCAGACATGAGCCATCGTGCAGCAACCGCGCCAAAGGCCACCGTGGCGTACTGGTTCCCCGCTTGGTGAAGTTCGCTTTCTTGGTTGGGCCCATCCTCAAACTATGGAGCCCACGTTGGCGTTGGGGCTACGTAGATTGAGCAAGCGTTCTGGGCACGAGTCCGTTCGCCATTGAACAAGTAGGGTGTCTCACATGTCTGCCATCCTCTCGTGTACTCGCTCCTCCAGAGTGACATTCGACCTGAGCAACATAGCAGCGGCAACATTGAGGTATCTTGACTGGGCACATCCTACGGTCATTGAGTCGAGAATTGACGAAATGATGCAGGTCGTGTCGCGCCTATCCGGAGGTTGGCTGGAGCGGTGGCATTTCTCAGAGATACTCCACCTTCAGTTGGGGCGGGCAATGCCACCTGGAGAGCGATCTATTAGGAAGGTCACGCAACCGACAGCATTTCCTCCTTCTCTGGGTGGCGCGACAGGGGTACTTGAGCAGCCCTCGTCTGCAATACGTCGTTCGAATCCACTTTCTGTGTCTTGGCGCCAATGGTTTTCTCATGTGTCTCTTGCTGATGATGTAGGGCCGTAACCTGCACACGGTGCCTTGCTTACACCACTCGGGCCACGTCATGCCAAAACATCCGCCGCCCCGCCTCGCCCCTTCTCCCGCCCCTCTCGAGGCGCGGATAGGGAGGATTTAGGACGAGCCGACACGAAAAGGAGTCGAGGAAGGACTGGGCGTGGGAGGGGGAAGCATGGGGGGAGAAAGAGAGAGAGAGAGAGAGAGAGACATTGAGTGGGGATGGTGAGGTGTGGCTAGGGCAGGTAATATTGATCGAAGCCTCGCTCTCCTGAGATGCCTCGCTCCTGTGTGTGTGTGGCCCGCCACCACTCCGCAGGCAGAGGATCATGACAGGCCCACGCCAGTAGCACGACGGGTTAAGCAGCCACGCGCCGTATTTAGATTACGAGGAGCGATGTGGCCAGGTGGAGCAGCAGGAGGAGGAGGAGGAGTCCCAGGGATTGCAGTGGCGGACCTCCACATCCAGGAGCGGCGGCGAGCGAGGGAGGTGAGGAGAGGGAGGAGGCCCTCTCGGAGGGCGGCGGAGCTTCCCAGGAGGTCTCCGGCCCGCCGAGAGGTGTTTTTTTTTGCTTTCGGGGCAGGCTCGGAACCTCCTGCTCCTGCTCCTGCTCCTCCTCCTCCTCCTCCTCCTCCTCCTCCCCCTCGTCCTCCTCGTCCTCCTCCTCCTCCTCCTCCTCCTCCCATCCCCCTTCTCCTCCTCCTCCTCCTCCTCCTCCTCCTCCTCCTCCTCCTACTTCCCAGAAGGCCGGGGGGGGACTTCGAGCCCTCCGAGGACGCCTGCCCCTTCTCAAGCCCCCCCCTACGCTCGCCGCCGACGGGAGGCCCTTCGCCGGAGCGGCGCGCGCCTCTCCCTCCCCCCCCTGACCTCCCGCGTCCTCATGATCCCCCTCCCTCCTCCTCCCTTCTCCTCCTTCCTCCTTCCTTCTTCCTCCCTCCTCCTCTCCTCCTCCTCCTCCTTCCTCCTCCTCCTCCTCCTGCCCCTCCTCCTCCTCCTCTCCTCCTCCTCTCCCTCCTCTCTTCCTCTTCCCTCTCTCCTCCTGCCTCCCCCCCTCCTCCCTGCTCCGCGCCAGGAGCCCGCCTCGGCCCTCCAGACGGTGATGTCCTCGGTACCCACGCTGTACGACTCGGTCACCACGGTGTTCGGCGCGCGCCCGCGCCCCGTGCCGCCCCTCGCCGACCGGACCGGGGCGCCGCCTCCCCTCCCTCCCCGCCCCTCGCCCCCTGTGGCGCCTCGCCCCCTCCCCTCCCTCCCCGCCCCCCTCTCCCCCACCCCTTCCCTCCCTGCCGGTGCCCTCTCGCCCTCTCCTCCCGCCCCTCCCCCCCCCCTCCCCGCCCCCTCTCGTCCCGCAGAGCCTCGATCCTCGAGAGCCTCGAGAGCCTCGAGAGCCTCGATCCCTCGATCCTCGCGAGCCTCGAGCCTCGAAGCCTCGAAGCCCCGAGCCTGCGATCCGCGACCGGCGGCCGCCCGCCCGCACGGGGGGGGGGGCGCCTCGAGGCTGGCCGCGGCCGTGCCGCGGCCGCACCGCCGAGGCTGGGCCCCCCTCCTTCGTTCAATGCTGCCCGCAGGAAAGGCCTAGTCTGGGTAGTCGAAGGCCAGACTGTCAGATTGGATTGGGCCCCAAGGGCCAATCTGGCCCGGCCAAACTGGATGATTTGGGTTATTCGCCAGACTGGATTCGCGTTGGATCCCTCGCCAGATTGCCCCCGTTTGCCAGATTGGGCCTGCAGATTGGCGCCAGATTGGCTTCCACTACCCAGCTAGTGAACATGTCCCATGCAGCCAGATTTGCTGCGCAGGCCATCCGGGCGAGGGCACGACAAGATACATCTCGGCACGCAGTTCACCAGGAGCTGCTGCGCTAACGGGGGTGGTGCTCCTCCTCCTCCTCCTCCTCCTCCTCCTTCTCCTCCTCCTCCTCCTCCTCTTCCTCCTCCTCCTCCCGCTCCTCCTCCTCCTCCTCCTCCTCCTCCTCCTCCTCCTCCTCCTCCTCCACCCCATCACCTGAGGGCCCTCGCCCTCGCTCGTGGCGGTCCCCATCCGCCGCCTCACTGGGCCCCCACCCCGCCAGAAGCCGTGGCCGCTGGCGTGTGCGCTGGCGCCGGCCGCCCCCGCGGTATGACTCTGGGCTGCTCCGAGAACCAGAACCTGCACTACCATCGCGCGCGCACGCGTGCGGATTTCCACATGCGCTCCGCATTCGGGCTCAGGCACGGTCGAGGCTGGGCCCCCTCCCCCAGCCTCCGTGCATCCTGGGGGCGTACCAGAGCCACGTCGCCGGTATGACTCTGGGCTGCTCCGATGACCGGAACCTGCATTACCATCGCGCGCGCACGCGTGCGGATTTCCACATGCGCTCCGCATCCGGGCTCAAGCACGGTCGACCCTCATTGCTGTCCTTGTTGGCATTCGGTCCGCAATGGTAGCTGACCGGCCATTTGCGTAGTTAAGAGTTTGGCGCACGGGAGCGCGGATGGCATTTCATGCAAGCATGGTTCAGTTTGTGTCCAGGCGACGCGGAGCCGCGCAGACACGCGGGTGACGTCATGGCCGCAAGCTGTGATCATTGCCCTCTTCAGGGCCCAAGCTCTTTCGTCTAGAAGGAGCTGCCGAGTACCCTGCTGGTCTTAATGATGGAACGCGGCTGATCTTAATGATGCTGACTGGCGAGAGCGCTCGCTGCCTGAGGACGACAGCAGTCAGATGTTGTCAGTTCAAAACACTGTTGGAGTCGAACTGTCTGCCAGTGAGGCTCGTCGTCGTCGTCGTCGTCGTCGCCCTCTTTCTTGTGTCCGTGGTTGCAGTGCGTCAATGACCAACGGCTTCCACTACACATTGAAGCCTGGTCTTGCTGTTTAGCGTGAGGCTGTCGAACGTATTTCTGCACCTCCTCCCCCCCTCCCTCCTCCTCGCTTGCTCAGCAAACATGTTGAGCATATGGCTTCAACCGCCCGGAGCAGCTATCCCACAAGATCGCGCAATACGTCCTTGTGCGCCAGCTCTCTCTCTCTCTCTCTCTCTCTCTCTCTATATATATATATCTCTCTCTCTCTCTCTTTCCCCCCTCCCCCTTCCGTTGCTCGGCGGCGAGCGAGGCGGGGAAGTGAGAAGGAAACAACCTTCTCAGAAGGCGGCGGGACTTCTCAGAAACCCTCGCGCCTTCTGAGAAGTTTCTGGGTGTCTTCGGGGAAGGCCCAGAAAACTTCTCAGAAGGCCAGGGGACTTCCGAGCCTCTGAGAAGGCCTTCTCCTTCTCACCTCCCCCCCCTCGCTCGCCGCCGAGCTGCAGCTCGAGCTGGTCAGATGGTTGCGGAGACCTCGTGCAGTGCAGTTTTTGAGAGCATTTCATCAATGCCTTCAACATAGCCGCCGGGACCCTGACATCCGATGTCGCTTCCTTTCCACACGAGTTCCCCTGAAGCAGGGCTGGACCTAAACGTTATCTTGTTGGACTTGGGCTGTGCCTTGTTTTTCGCTTTGGCAGGGAGGTACAGGAAAACAGGTAGAGCATACCGAGCAACAGAAAACAGGGCCAGAGGCGTGGCGCTGCGATGGGAGGAGTCCCACCCCCCTCTTCCCTCTTGCCTCCGTCCCCCCTCCGCTTCTCTTTTCCCCTAATCTGCAGAGGCGACAGTTTTGCTGCTGTTCGAGAGTCGTAGTCAGGCAGTTCACACGTTGTTCTATCGCGTCACAAACAAACACCACGAACAACAACAACGTTTCGGTCCCGCCCTGCCCTGAAGCTCCGACTCTTTCCCCAGGGCCGGCTCTTCGTCCCGAGCTGTTCTTTGACGGCCCCCGGGCCCCGCGAGGGCCTGCGCCTCTGGCCGTGGTGGTTGGGTCCACCACTCTGCGGTGGGGGTCTGCTGCTCCCTGCCCTGCCTCCCGTTGCCAGTGGATCTCATCCACCAAGCCCGCTGGGCTCAGCAGGACGACCCGCACGCACCCTGCGAAGCTCGAGCGTGCGCCACGCCGCGCTGTTGCGGCAGACGCCGTGGCCGCAGACTGGTACACCCGACCCCCCCGCCTCGGCGTCACCCCAGCATACTTATACTATATGTGCGTCGTCCCCCCAGGGGCGGCGCGCGCACCGAGAAATCTTATAGCATATGCGTCGTGGCGTGCGCTTTCTGGCCACACCGCTCGGGAAACGATATACTACAAGACAGGTATACTATATGTTCGGGTCGGACGCTCGCCTCCAAGGAGGACATATAGTACTAGTATGTCTCTGTGCTTCCCACCGCCGGCCCCCGCGCGGAAAGCACCCGCCCTGGATTCCTCGAGGCTCGAAAAAAAGGCCCGGACCCCCGCGCTGCGGAGGTCTGCCTGGAGCTCGGGGCTCGCGGCCTCGGGCCCCCTTTTCCTCGTCCTCCTTGCTTCCCTTGCCCCTCTTCTCTTCTCGCCGGTGCTTTTTTACTTCTGGGATGTTGCTGTGATTTAAGCCACTGGTCTCTGCTGCGGATCGACACGGAGTGCACGGGTCACTCGATTGGTGTTGCGGTCGCCCCCTCCCTCATGCCCCTCCTTCTTCTCCCAAGAGATTGCGTGGACAAAAAAAACGATTTTCCTACAGCCTGGCCCCACCGAGGTCTGGACCCGTCTCCTACTGTCTTGCAGGGAGAGGGACCGCTCCCTTACAGCGGTCGCCGAGGTACTCCCTCGAGGCGCGGTTCGACAAGCGCTGCCGGCTCTCCCCCCGGGACCCTTCTCCAGCACCAGCATTCCCTCCCGGGATCACCGTGCCCACGGTGCGATTTTCTTACAACCTGGCCCCACCGAGGTCTGGACCCTCCTCCGGAGCCGGCAATCCTCAGGAGGGGAAAGACCATACAGACACAGTTCATCGTCGATTCCCCCGAAAGTATGGGAAGCGGGGGGAAGACATCAAGCCAGAAAAAGATTGGAAGATATCGGGGATCTCCTTATTTGTGTGTATTTATTTGTGTGTCTTTGGGCACTTTGATTTCTTACAAGTTGGCTCCACAGAGGTCTGGGCCCTCCTCCGGAACCGGTATGCCATCCCGAGTCGGCTTTGGACGGTCCACGGGCCGCTGCGACGGCCCCCGAGGGCCGAGAACAGTCGGGCTTTTGGATGTCGTGCTTTTCTCATCGCCCGAGATGTGATCACGGTGCTCCGCGCATCCCCTTTGAGAGCCTTTTTTGTTTTTTTTTTGTTTTTTGTTTTTTGGATTCAGGCAAGTTTACTTGCATGGCGTTCGCCCCCCCCCCCCCCCCCCCCCCCCCCCTCGCCCCTTTTCAAGCGAATACTAGCGTGCAGGTGCCTTTCGACTTGCGTGATTTCCGCGCCCCCCAACCCCCAGGCTTGCTTCAGGCTCAGCCCCCCCCCGTCCATGCAAGTAAACTTGCCAGAGTCTAAAAAAAACAGGCTCTGAGGGAAATCTTGGAAGCTTCGCGCGGCGCGCAACAACTGTATGATCCAGTCCGCCCGCCCGCCCTGTCAGATCTGGGGCGACGTTCGCGCGGCGATGCTCCGACGCCGATCCGACGTGAGTCCGACGTAATCCCGACGTAAAACCGACGCGAACCCCACGCAAGTCCGACGTAGGTTGGGTCTCGAGTTGCCGCGCCAGGCCTCATTTTACTCCTGCAGCCCCGCCCACGGCTTCGAGCTTCCGATCTCCCGCTGGCTGGCGGGGCGCCCCCGCGCGTATTCGCGCGTCTGCGTGCCCGCCCGCGGCAGGCACGGCCGCCTCCGAGGCGACGGTGTACGGAGGGGGCGGGCGGGAGCGCGCGTCGTCGTCGTCGTCGTCGTCGTCGTCGTCGTCGTCGTCGTCGTCGTCGTCGTCGTCCTCGTCGTCGTCGTCCTCGTTTTCGTCGCTGTGTTCCCACTTCACGATCTCCTTGCCTTCCTTTCCATTGTTGGTCATTATTTTTGGGTTTGTTTTGCTGGTTTTGTTTGTTTATTGTAGTGGCCTCCGGCCAGTGCCGCCGATCCCAGGGCTCCCGATGTTGATGGGAATGGATAGCTGTGTATGCTGAAGATCCAGCTCTCGTTCGAGACATCCTCATAAGATGAACATGTGGAAATCGGTTGCGAGACACCCCCCCGAACACTGAATGGCGTCGGGAATGGCGTCCCACCCCCCCTTGCAGAGCGACCCCCTCCCCCGGTTCCCGAACACTGAATGGCGTCGGGAATGGCGTCGGGAATGGCATCCCCTTCGCCCCCCCTGGCTCCCGAGCACCGAATGGCGTCGGGAGTGGTGTCGGGAATGGGGTTCCCCCGCCCCCCCCCCCTTGCAGAGCGACCCCCCCTGGCTCCCGAGCATTGAGTGGCGTCGGGAATGGCGTCCACCCCCCCTTGCAGAGCGAACTCCCTCCCAGGCTCCCGAACGCCGAATCCCCCCCTTGCAGAGCGACCCCCCCCTGGCTCCCGACCATTGAATGGCGTCGGGAATGGCGTCCCCCCCTTCCCTTGCAGAGCGAAGCTTGAGCGAGCTCAAGTCCACGATCGCAGACATACACACGCTGGATCGGCGTTTTTTTTTGATTATCTCTCTCTCACACCCTCTCTGGTGAAGTTGGAATACCGCCAGTGCTCGACACCTTGCCGTTGCCTAGATGTCACGCTTCCGTCTTTTCGCTTCCTGCCTCGCTCCTCCAGCGCTGCGGCAGCAAGCAACACATCTCCTCTCGTGTGCTCCCGAAGACCCGCGGGGGCTCGTGGGCCGCAGGGCCTTTCCGATCAGCTAGTTGCGCCCCCGCGGGACCCCGTGCAGCCTCTGGGCCCAGATCACAACCGCCAGGGGTGGCTGATGCGGGTGGCGGTGGTGGTAGTGGTGGTGGTGGTGGTGGTGGTGGTGGTGGTGAGGAGGAGGAGGAGGAGGAGGAGGAGGAGGAGGAGGAGGAAGGTCCGTAGCCATTTTGGCTCAAGGCTGGGCCCCCCGCCGCGCGCGCGGGCCCTGCGGGCCGGCCCCATGCCTCCCGTCCGCCGCCAGGTGCAGAAGCCTGCGGACAGGGGCGATGCCAGATGTTCTGTCTGGCTTTCTTCTCTGAGATTTCATCAAGGTAATATCTTCTTACGAGAATACGAAGAACCGACACGAGTCGAGACCGCTACAGAAGGTGGTTTGCCGCATCGCATACGCGGCGAAGGGAAAACGAGTCAATCTTTCAGACTGGAAGGACGTAATGAAAGGGTGCCGTCTATCCAGTGAGCGCCCCGCCCCGTTGCACCGCCCGATGCGGCGGTCGCACAGGAAACCATCGTGAGCGAGGCGAAGATGCAGTACACTGTGATCCAAGTGGCGGCTCCTTGCAGTTCGAATGGACACAGCGCAGACGTGATAAGCTGCCAGCTGCCGGCTTACATCCCGGGGGTCGCTTCCAAGCAACCTGGCTACAACGGCTACGACGGTTTCGGTGGCTGCCAGCATTCCCTGGGCACGGTTCAAGAAGTGGCGGGCAGTGGCAGCATCGGTGGTCAAGAATTGGCGGGCTGTGGCAGCAACGATTGCGAACAGACGGAAGCGAGGCGGCTGCACGACAGCCTCAGCTACCAGTCAGAGGCGATGCTGGAGCCCGATGCTGCCAATCTAGACGCTAACCTACATGACAGAAGCGGCTCGAGAAAACAAAGCGGCGAGAAAGGTCAGGATCCCAAACTGCCGCCCAGTGGCAAGCCGAAGATACAGCTAGAGGCCAACACCACCAACTACAGTGCAGGAGTCGGGGCACGCGAGAAAGGCAAGGCGCAAAAGGTGCCCGACGCCTTCAGCTACAGTCGCGGAGTGTGGGCCCGCGACAGCTCCACGGCGGGCGTCGCTTATCCCACGGAGACCTGCCTGCAGGCGGCGGCGGCGGGGGCCCTGCGAGCGGCCGCCGCTCGCCGCGCCGCCGCCTGCGAGGAGCCAGGCGCCGACAGCGCCGACAGCGGCGACGACGGCACGAACGCGAACGCGAATGCCGACGCCAAGGAGGATGAGGGGGACTGTCAGGGCGGCAGCGACCCCGCAGCGGCTACGAGAGAAGAGGTGGCAGTGGCAGCGAGAAAAGAGGCGGCAGTGGCAGCGGGCAGCTTCGCGAGAACGGAGGCGGGAGAGGCGGCAGTGGCGGCAAGAGGAAAGGCGGCAGTGGCAGTGGCCAGCGAACGCGGCAGCAGTGACCGCGAGCAGACGGAGGCGAGGCGGGCCTGCGACAACACCAGCTACCAGTCAGAGGCGAAGCTGGAGCCCGATGCCACTGAACTAGACGCTAACCCGATCGGCGGAAGCGGCTCGAAAGAAAATTGCGAGAAAGGACAGTACCTCAAGCTAGCGTGCAGCGGGAAACCGAAGGCAAAGCTAGAGCCCGACACCACCAGCTACAATGCAGGAGTGGCAGCTGGCAGTGGAGCGAGCAGCGGGCAGTGGCAGCGGGCAGTGGCAGCGGGCAGTGGCGCGAGCAGGGGGAGCGCCGCGACCGTCAACGACCCCCCCCCTTCAACGCCCCTCGACGACCCCCCCCGACGGCGCCCCTCGACGACCCCCCCCGACGACTTCCCTCTTCGCCCCTCGACGCCCCCTTGCCCCTCGACGCCCCTCGACGTCCCTCGACGCCCTTCGACGCCCCTCGACGACGACCCCAGACGCCCCTCGACGCCCCTCGACGACCCCAGGCCTCTCGACAAGCAGTGGCAGCGGGCAGTGGTGCGAGCAGTGGCAGCGGGCAGGGGCGCGGGCAGTGGTGCGATCAGTGGCAGCGGGCAGTGGCAGGGCAGTGGCAGCGGGCAGTGGCAGCCGGCAGCGGGCAGTGGTGCGAGCAGTGGCAGCGGGCAGTGGCGGCCTGCAGCGGAGGTCGCCCCTCGACGACGCCCCTCGACGACGCCCCTCGATGACCCCCCGTGCCCAGCCCCCCGACGACCCTCGAAGACCTCCTACGACCCCCGACGACCCTCGACGTCCCTTGACGACCCTCGACGTCCTGCAACGGCGTCCCCCCAATGGCGTGCGGCAGCCATCGCAGCGCTCCAGGCGGCAGGGTCACCCCCCCCCACGCCCGCTGCCTTGTCGACATGGTTCTCAACAGCGGCCCCGTTCCAGTCTGCGGCAAGGAGACTGCGTCAAGGAGACCCTCGCAGGCCTCGGCAGCCCCTGGCCCCAAGACCACTCCCACAGGGAGGACTCCGACGGCCTTCCAGACGATAACGCCCCAGCGAGCGGCAGCCCCTGGCCCCAAGACCACTCCCATAGGGAGGACTCGGACGGCCTTCCCGACGACAACGTCCCAGCGGTCCACAACAACACAGTGAGACAGGCGCGTCTGCGAGAAGAGGCAGTGGCAGAAGGCAGAGGCGCGAAGCAGGGAGGCAACACGTTATCAGCTACAAACACCGCGAGCGAACCGCCAGCCTGGCGGCCAAGCCTCCGGACGCCCCCGACCCGGAGGGCGCCGACGCCGACCCCGACGCCGAGGAGGCGCACTTAAACGGCGAGTTCCTCGCCGCCCCCCCCCTCGGGTGGTGAGCGTGCCGTCCTCGTCAGGCGGAGGAGGCTGGCGGCCACCGAATGGGGGGGCAAAATCGTCGCGTTCGGCTACCACAGGGAGTACCCCTCTTAAGGAAGAGGGAGCGGTGGACCCTCCTCCGGCCCCCCCCCCCCATCGTGGAGGGTACAGGGCCGATTTGCAGGAGGATGCAGAAGGAAGAGGAGGAGGAGGAGGAGGAGGAGGAGGAGGGGAGGAGGAGGAGGAGGAGGAGGAGGAGGAGGAGGGGAGGAGAGGAGGAGGAGGAGGAGGAGGAGGAGGAGGAGGAGGAGGAGGAGGAGGAGGGAGGAGGAGGAGGAGGAGGAGGAGGAGGAGGAGGAGGAGGAGGAGGAGGAGGAGGAGGAGGGAGGAGGAGGAGGAGGAGAGGAGGAGGAGGAGGAGGAGGAGGAGGAAAAACCGTATAATGAGCATGAGGCAGAGGCGGAGGCGGAGGCGGCGGAGGCGGCGGAGGCGGAGGCGGAGGAGGAGGAGGAGGCGGAGGCGGCGGAGGAGGAGGAGGAGGAGGAGGAGGAGGAGGAGGAGGAGGAGGAGGAGGGAAAAGGCGGACGAGGAGGCGGAAGAGGAGGCGGTGGCGGCGGAGGAGGAGGAGGAGGAGGAGGAGGAGGAGGAGGAGGAGGAGGAGGAGGAGGGTCACCCGAGGATTGCCCCAAGCTGACGCTGTCAGACCGCGGGCCGCCGCGCCGCCCGCCGCGCACATGCCCCAGGTATGCCTCCATTTTCGGGCCGGACGAAAGGGGGGGACTGGGAAAGGGAGGGGTACGACATTTGCTGCATGCAGCTGGTTTCGGCCCCACCGAGAGGCCCATTCCTCGACACATGGGCGCCATCTTGGCGCCGGGCAAGTCAGCTGCGTGAGCTGATTTCCCCCCCCCCCCCCCCCCCCCCCTTTGCTCTCCCCCCTTTCGCCCGACCCGACATTCCCAAGGGGCTCCCGCTCAGGGTACGGGGCGGTCTCGCGGCAGCGGTGGCGGCCTCGCGGCGCCGCGGCCCGCGGCCTCTCGGCGCGCTTGCCGGGCGCTGCAGTCTCTCCTCCCCCGGATGCCGCCTCTCGCGAGGCAGTGCGGGTCCTCCTCCACACTTCTGCACTTTTTACACTTCTCACGCGCGCCATTTCTGGACGCGTTTCTTACTCTGTGTGCTCTTCAGGATTATGATGCTCCAGCCTACTTTAGCCTTCATTACCAGGAAGAGTTTCGAGCGCCCAAGAAAGTACCGAACCTCAAGGGTTTTCACGTGTTGGGCCCTGGC